GGAAAGAGTAGGCAATATCCCCTCCCCTTGCAGGGGATGCAGTTAACTACACACGAAGACCCTCACCTTTAAGCAGTTGGGTTGGCCCTTCTTATTTTCAACCTAATCTGGTAACTTAGGTGGCAATCGATGCCAAGCAAACACAGCAGCCCTGAAGGGATACAGACAGGAACACCCCCTCCCCATCTCTCCCTAGCTGCATCAAGGTTCCCTCCCCCACGAGACAGCTGTCTGGAGGAACTGAAGCAACAGCCGTTTGGCATTTTAGTTGTCCTTTCCCCATCTCTGGCTACACAGATCCTGGAACTGTTATCGCATGGCCCTAGACTCAACTGCAGTGTACACAGAAGGGGAGGGGTTTGTAGTCATATACAGGTACTTCAAGGCAAAACTAGGGTTCTTCCCCCCCAGGTACGCTATAAAAGGGGGGGGGCAGTCTTAGATTCACATACAGGTTAGGATACAACGCAGGGGAGAAGCTCTTTGAAGGAAAGGGGATAACGACCCTGGTTCACGCAGCAGCACCCCCCTGGGAGTAACGAGGAAGCATTTGCTACCCTTTCAATGCAGGAAAGAAGAGGTGCTCTTTGGATGCCCGGCCACCGCCAGCAAAACAACCTCCCATCAAGGGGTTATGCCGTCATGATGCAACTCCCACCAGCTCGATCTGGGGCACCGGGGGCTTATTTAGTGCCCTAACCCTCCCCGAAAAAGAGGAGCACCTGTTCCAATAACTCAAGAGCAACTGGACTGCACTGAAAGAAGCAGCGTCCGGCTCTGTCTCAGCTCTGTGGCCCACTTCCCCATCCTTGCCGAGGACTATTCCTCCCCCCTGCTGAGGGTTTGGGGGAGAGGAAGGCAAGTCGACAATAATCCTTCCCCCTCACCAGATGTCCTGCATGCAGTACGAACAGACTAAGGCCCACAGGGGAGAGGGAGAGAAAATAAGAGCCCACACACGATCGACTGAAGGGGGTCACATGCACATGAGTCAAGGCCAGGTGGGTGGCAGGAAGAGGGGGATTGCGGGAACAAACCTCCCCACCCCCCCGACAAAAACAAAATTACCGCTGCCTTGGCTTCGGCGGCCTTTGCTTTCTTCAACCTGGCTTTGCAGGCGTCCAGATCCAGGCGGCGGTTCTCCAGAATCCGTCTCTCTTTCTGAGGGAAAAGAAAGACGCACTTGAACAACCTGAGAGAGCCTCTGGCAAGCGCCACAGCAGTGCCACTTTTTTGGCGGTGGCAACGGATGAGGGGGACCTCGCTCCAGCTGGCCACGTTCACCCTGTTTGTCCCAGGTTCGGCTCCCTGGTTCAGGAGTCCCGGGAAGGAAGTCAGAGGAGGCTCTGGGCCATTCTCCCATTCCTGGCATGAACGGCTGGGCAAAGGGTCAGGGGCCAGCTGCGGGCCCTTGGACAGGAAGTGGGTCTGTTGCCCCACAGTAAGGGCCACCTTGGTGGGGAAGGAGGAAAGCGACGACTTCATCACTTCTAGAATGCACCCGTATGCCAAGGAAAGTGCTTCTCCCGCTGATCTGGAAGTTACAGCTTTGGATGCATCTCGCTATGTGCGCACCGAGGCCACACATTCACATCAATGCACGGAAGCAGACTGAAGAGCGCCAGGGCACGGGCCTTCCCCTTCCCCCAACGCAGTCAACCGTGCTGGAGGTGCCTGAGCCGCAATTATTCTAGAATGAGCAGAACCAGATCCCATCTTCTAAGCCAAATCATTCATTAAGGAGGCTTTATGAAATATTCTTCCGTTAAAGGCGGAGAGGAAGCTGACACAGTCCAATTACTTCAGGCAAAACCAGATGCGATGTGGGAGAACCAGGACTGACACCATTAAAAAAAAAAAGCAGACATGACTGGGGTTTTCCCCCCCCCCTCCCCGATTTCAATTGGAGCAGCAGCGCTAGGGGGAAGAGTGCTTAGCTTTTTACAGGAACCTAATCCCCCCCCCCCCGTAGGTCTAACAGTAGCTTGGAGGGAAACATTTAGATAGAGAAAATCAGCCTGCCTGCTCCAACAAAAGAGACCAGATACTTTAAAACAGCCCCTGGGGGTGTTTGTGTAACAAGCCAACACCAGCCGGCACCCAAGATCTGATTACAGGATTTCCTGCATCACATTTGCTTCACAAGCCCTTGTAGGACCAGCTCCTGCGGGGTAAATTAAGAGAGAAGAAGAGAAGAGATTGGATTTATACCCCACCCTTCACCACCCAAAGGTGTCTCAGAGCGGCTGACAAACTCCTTTCCCTTCCCCTCCCCACAACAGACACCTGGTGAGGTAGAAGAAGAAGAGAAGAGATTGGATTTGCACCCCGCCCTTCACTACCCAGTGGAGTCTCAGAGCGGCTTACAAACTCCTTTCCCTTCCCCTCCCCACAACAGACACCCTGTGAGGTGGGTGGGGCTGAGAGAGCTCTTGACAGAAACTGCTATTTTTCAAGGACAGCTCTTATCAGAACTAAAGCTTGCCCGAGGTCATCCAGCCAGGTGCAAGCGGAGGAGTGGGGAATCAAACCCGGCTCTCCCAGATTAGAGACCGTGCATTTAACCACTACACCAAACTGGCGCAGAAGAGGGCGCAGAAACCAGCAGACGGGTCTTCGGCCATGTACAATAGCAGAGAAAGAAGGGTGGCTTAGGCAGTGACCCTTGGTGTGAGGACAGTAATTGCAAGAACATATGAGCAGGGGTTACTTCCTAGAAAAAGAGGTACAGGAGCTCATTTGCATATGCAACACCCACTGACAAAGGGCAGGCATGTTTAAAATGAGTTAAGGCATATGCAAATGAGTTTAAACCACCACCCCCAGTCTCTCCGCAAAAACGGAGAGGCTGGAGAGGGGAAGGGGAGGCGGGCAGACATGCCTGGCTTCCCTGCCCAATCTTCTCCAGGTGCCCGAGAGGCTGGAGAGGGGAAGGGGAGGCGGGCAGACATGCCTGGCTTCCCTGCCCAATCTTCTCCAGGTGCCCGTGACTAGGAAGCCAGGCATTTAATTCCACCCCTCGGGCGCTCCAGCAGGAAATGACCCCTGCATATGAGTATCCCTGTTTTCTCCTGTGTATTCAGGGCTGTATCGCCCAACTCACCCCTTTTATGACAAGCTTTCATTTGCACCAGGTATAGAACAAACATACACAGTGGCTCCAGAGTCGCTGTGTCCTCTTCTAAACGCTGCTGACCTTGGCACCTGTTCCCGTAAAGCGGGCCGCTTCTTTAGAAGCTGAGACAGTTGTGTCCAGGGGTCATTTCGTAGAAAAAGAGGTGCAGGAGCTCATTAGCATCACTCATTAGCATAACTTATTTGGATAGGCCATGCCCCCTGACGTCACCGGAAGGGTGTCAGAAGGCAACACCCACCGCTCAGGCTCCACTGGACTGTTTTGGATTGCCAGCTATTGGGGGGGATGGGACGTGCAGATCTGTCCTCGCAGAGGAGGGAGAGCTTGTATCTGAATAAAACTTGGTCTTAAAGGTGCCACTGGACTGTTTTGGATTGCTAGCTACTGGGGGAGAGGACGTGCAGATCTGTCCTCGCAGAGGAGGTAGAGCTTGTACCTGAATAAAACTTGGTCTTAAAGGTGCCACTGGACTGTTTTGGACCGGGGGCCAGGGGGAGCTCTGCAGCTTACCTGGCTGTTTCTTGCTCTGACGGAGGGCTGCTGGGAGCAGGGGGTGGGGCTTGTTGCATGTGCCCGCCCCCTGGTCTCTTTACTGCCGGAGCTCCGCTCCTGTGCGCTCCTGCAGGAAATGACCCCTGGTTGCGTCCCTACTACAGGCCAAAGATTAAGTTCTACCAGATAACAAGGAAAGCCAAAGGTTCAACGGTGGTGAGTTCTACATGTTCAGAGGTATACTTGTAAATCAAAAGGTTCTACCATAGCTATATAGTATGTGTGTTTATGTTGGTGAGCAGAGCATAAAGCAGTCTTGTGGCTTCTTTGGATGATGGGAATTGCAAGTCTGGCCCTCTGCAACCCATCTCTTAAGACAACACATGCTGCATCAGGAAACCCTGGCTTGTTTACACTGCAGGTTGTGCAGTAAACTTCGGTTAATTTGACAGACGCAAGTAACAAGGCCTGGTTTGTTTGCTTCTTGCGTCCTCTCCATCTCTCAGTGGGAAGGTGGCACATGGCTACTCAAAGGCTGCAGTTCGTTAACTCCCAAGTAACATACCCGCTTAATACAAATTGGTTTGAAATCCTGGTTTGGTGCCAAGTAACAAATCCCAGTTGGTTGAACCACCTGCATTCAGGCATGGTTATTAACGAGGGTTTGATCAAGCCTGGTTGATAAGCCAAAGTTTATTTTGAAATCTTAATGCAACCACACTTATGTGTGTAGGTCAGGGGTGGAGATAAGCAGGGCTGGCTCACCCACTAGGAGAACCAGGCATTCGCCTAGAGCGCCGGGCCCTGGATGGGGCGCCAAGCTGTGCCTCCCCCCCTCCTCCCCCCCTTTGGTGGCGGCGGCGGCAGGGGAGAGGAGGCGGTGCTGGCAGCAGCAAAAGGGTGGCTGGCTCCAGAGGTCTCCAGGTTTCCGGGCCCCACCGGGAGGTTGGCATCTGTGCCATAAGGCAACCTCGCCTAGGGCGCAGAAACACTTCGAGCTGGCCCTGGAGATAAGTCATAGCAAGCAGAGGCATTTTATTTTTTGGCAGTTCTTTGTATTTTTTCCTATGTGCATCTGTGCACCTGGAAATCATGGCAACCTCTGGTTTATGGACCCCTACTGCTGGCCTGAAGGATATTCAGAGAGGTGGCTGGATAAAGCCTGCCCCCGCCTCCCGACTGCTGGTATTCCAAGGAAGCCTCCCATCCAAGCACTTGCCAGAGTCAGCCCTGCTTCGCTTCCAAAATCTGATGAGATCCGGCTTGCCCAGGCCATCCAGGTCAGGACACATCATCTTTAACTACAAGCTTCACAGTCCACCAGTGTTACAAGAGGGCACACTTAGAGTGCCTTAACTTATCAGTGTTCAATAACCTTCATTAACGCTTCATGTTGATATAGCACTATTGATATTCTAAGAACGAAGTTTGAGTCCAGTGAGGCACCTTTAAGACCAACAAAGTTTTATTCAAGGTACGAGCTTTTGTGTGCAGGGCACACTTCCTCAGATACCACGGGTGCCTGCACACAAAAGCTTACACTTTGAATGAAACTGTGTCTTAAAGGTGCCCCTGGACTCAAACTTTGTTCTACTGCTTCAGGCCAACATGGCTGCCCCACCTGGATCTATTGGTGTTCTAAGTACTGTTATTTTGTTGCAGTACTTAAACCCACCCTGTATAGTAGGCCAGGGTTATTATTCCAGTATTGCACAGGGGAACGGAGGCGGGGATGGAAGCTCACCCAAGGCCACCTTCTACATTTGGGGCAGAAATCAGATTAGATCCAGGGACCTCTCAGATCGCAGCTCATTCTCTGGGCTCTGCATTACCAGCTGATCAATCCTGAATGCTCCCATAGAGAATCAGGAGCGCCCTACTGGATCGGCGTAAAGCCAACCGAATCGCACCGTTCTTGGCAGACTTTCTAGCGGGTGTCAAGCAGTGCTCCCTCTAAGCTGAGTTAGCGTGAGCTAGCTCACAGTTTATTAGCCTCTGGCTCACAATTTTTGTCTTAGCTCAGGAAGGGAGGGCAACTTCTGCCCCAGCCACACTCCAGTGCCCAGCAGCTCCCACTTCAGTACCCCCTCCTTCCCCCCCCTCACTTACAGAAATGGTTCTCCAGTCTCCCTCCAGGAAGTTGCGCAAAGGACTCAGGAAGTTGATGGATGCGGAATGGATGAAATCCCGCTCAGCTCCTCCCAGGCGCCTCTCAGTTTCCCCAACTTTGAGGAGGGTCTTTCCTGCAAGGTACCAAAAGACACATCACAGCCTCAGGTAGCTGACCGGACACCCTGCTCCACCCCTCGACCCAAGGACAGACAGAGCGAGGCAGGTTGCCAGCTTGGCGCTGTCCATCAGTTCTCTTCCATGCCAGTTGGAAGCAGGGCCGGCTCCAGCTTATTTTGCACCCTAGGCGAGGATCCCTTCTGCCCCCCCCCCCCCGCCCCCCCCCCCCCCCCCCCTCAACAAATCCAACATTGGCATCTCTTATGTTCTTATGTTCTTCCATGCCAGTTGGAAGCAGGGCCGGCTCCAGCTTATTTTGCACCCTAGGCGAGGATCCCTTATGCCCCCCCTGTGTGCCCACCAATTTTAAAAAATAAATGCATTTTAGGAAGAATGAAAAACACAAATAATCAAGAAACTCCCAGAGTACGGGGCCGGGTGCAGTTTGGTGCCCCTAAGGGCCGTCCCGCTCTAGGCGATCGCCTAGTTCGCCTAGTGAGTGAGCCGGCCCTGATGTTGTTACACTGTGCTTCAGTGACTCCTGGAAAATTTAGAGTTATCATTTTGAATCTGATTGTGTGTGTGTGTTAAGTGCCACTAAGTCACTTTTGATTTATGGCTATATGAATTAATGACCTCCAAAACATCCTATCGTGAACAGCCTTGCGCAGGCCTTGCAAACGGAGGGCCCTGACGGAGCCCATCCATCTCACACTGACTCTTCCTCTTTCCCGGCCGCCCTTCCAACTTTCCCCGAGCACTGCTGAATTTGATTACGGCTGCCAGATTGCTCCGCGCTAGGCAAGGGAAGCAAGGTACCATATCCCTTGGATACAGCAGTGGTTTGGAAAGATAAAGGATCTGTATCCTGCGATTATGCTTTCTGCTGTGGAGGGGAAAGATGTTAACCATCTTGATGCATTTTGACGAGATGGCCTGCAAGGTCCCTTCCCACTCTAACATTCTATGATTCTATATGATATTCAAACTATATGTTGAACAAATGCAGATAGATTATAAAGCTATCTTTCCCTGTCTGTTTCTTTTTCTGACTGATGCCAGTTTGTGAATGGATAATCCTGAGTCTGGAAGTCTCTTATTATGGGTTTACCTGGCTGTTTTACGGTTTCTGTATATAATTTCAAGAGGTGCTTGTTTGCCATTCAAAATACAAACTTGCTTTACTAAACTCTAGCACTGCTCATCCCCCTACCCATCTCGTTTGTAGAGAAGGCCAAGAGAGCAAACTGTAGATCTTGGCAGGGCCAACCAACCCACCCTAGGTCTGTCTGTATCTAAACCAAGCAAAACTCTACTCTTCTTTGGACAATCATCCCTGAAAGCACTATAACCTGTTTGCATTTAATCTTAACTCTCACTTCCAGTGACTTATGAGTCTGCTCCATACGTACTGGGCCTACCTAGAATCCTTAAAGTTCACAGTGATCCTCCTGCTTGCACAGATTGCCGCTGCAGCTGTTTTTACCAGGCCAAAAACAGTGCCCAGGGCAACCTCTGATCACCAAACAATTACAGGACAGACAAGAGAGATCATTAGCTGAGCCAGGGGCTGCAATGGATTTGCAAGAACCAGCATAATCAAATTGAAGCGCATTGGAGCAGAGAGAACAAGCAGACTGGTGTCCGATGGGCACAGTGCCGGTGAGCTTACGAGCAACTATTATGGAGGCCACGGTTTGCGGCAGGGTCTGCGATTGATTTTGAGAAGGTGGGCGTGATACCCAGAACTCGGCAGACAGGGAGAGGGTTACGGATCCATATACTTTCACCCGTTGTAGCTGCAGACGGAATAGACGCCAAAAACCTACCTAAATTCTGCTGCCTATTTAAAGCATAGGTGCATAATTTCATTTTGCATAACTCATTCTCCTTCTGCTAGTAGAACAGGGAGGAAAACATGTAGATGCCTCGTCCGCCCCAAACTACTGGGCATCTTCTTCAAGTGACCCTTTGGGAGACATGCCAAGAATACCTCCATGATACTTGCATAACCACAAGGATTAAAACCGCCACATTATTTGGGAAACAGCAATCCTATTTGGAAGCTGAATCCGGCTTCAGCGGTGGAGTTTCAACACAACACAGCCTTCCGTGTAGGAGTTCTTCTACAAAGCTCCGCAGGTGGCTATGCAACCAACATCTCTCCGTTTTAGAGAGGCCCTCTAGGTTGTGGGGTTATGTTTCCTATACATTACCTTAATGGACTCCGCAACATTGCAAGCCTACTGCAGAATTCATTACAGAACAGCATGATTGTCTCAAGTTTCTAAAAGGGCACCGTCGCGCTTCAGCTGCGGAGGACTGCGTTGCATTATAATGAAGCCACCCATGGAAGCGGGGAGCTTGGAGAGCCAGCCTGATTAGGCCCAGCAGCGTCAAGAAACGTGTTACTACGAGACTGGTGAGGAGTTATTTTTATGTTCAAGCTCCGCTGTTCCATGGCGTTTCACAAACCGAAGAGGCCGGTCCTGACTTTAAAAAAGGAGCTCACAAGTTCAGTTTGGAGAACTGTCTCGATTCTCCCTGCCCACTTGGCACACCCACACATATGAAGCCACCAGATGTCCGTATGTGGGTGCAATGTTTGGACAGAGTGTAGAAACTGATACGTGCAGGTCTGAACAGCACAACTCATATGCCCGGGGGGGGGGGCAGGGCTAGGAACCGATACAACAGTGTGTTAGGATGCATTAGATTTTACACAGGGGCCGCGGTGGCTCAGAGGTTAAGACGCTGAGCTGCTGACCGGAAGGTCTGTAGCTCGGCAGTTTGAGACCCGAGTGCCACATGACGGAGTGAGGCTCCCGTCTCTGGCCCCAGCTCCTGCCTACCTAGCAGTTCAAAAACAAAAAACTGCAAGTACCGCTTCGATGGGAAGGTAACAACGTTCTGTGCGCTTCAGTGTTTAGTCATGCCAGTCACATGACCACAGAAGTGTCTTTGGACAGCGCTGGCTCTTCGGCTTGGAAACGGAGATGAGTATCACCCCCTAGAGTCGGATTCGACTGGCTTTTGAGCAAGGGAAACCTTTACCTTTTTAGATTGTACACACATACGCATTAATAAAAACTATAAACCATCAGTGGACAATTTTCGTTTTAGCGAAATTAATAGATAGTAATTCGGTGTCACATTGCTCTTTAAATAGTATCAGGGCTCACTTCAGGCCAATCCTTGTCTGGATAAAAGAACAGCATTGTCAGCATACATTGAGATTGGAACCTTTCTGCTACCTGAGAATGAGGGAGCATGAGTATCAATTGAATGAAGGCATGTGATTAAAGAGTTAACATAGATGTTAAATAAGAAGGGAGCCAAAAGGCGACCTTGTCTGACTCCTTTTTGCACTGGAATTCTTTTCGAAAGTTTCCCATCTTGTGTGAGTCTCATTTGGATGTTGTTATTTTCGTGCAGTTTAATTAATAGAAGCAATAGCCTTCTATAGATACCCATGTCAGTCAATTTGGCCCAAAGCCTTCCCCTAGAAACAGAGTCAAAGGCCACCTTGAGGTCCACAAAGGTACAAGGAATTCTTCCGATGTTTCACATGTTTAAAAATAAAATAATCTAGGACCAAGCAATGATCAATAGTAGCACGCCCAGGTGTGAAACCAGCTTATTCAATTTCAAGTAAGCTGCTATGATCTAGCCATTCACATTGCTTCTGACAGAGGTGTTTAGTATATAACTTACAAATCACATTCAGAAGACTAATTGGTCTGTAGTTCAATGGGTCATAGGGGCTACCTTTTTAAAATAAAGGGGAAATTATAGCCAAGCCTCAGTCTTTAGGGATCTGAGTTGAGGGGCATCTATACAGGAGAAAAGATTTGCTAAGACTGGAGCCTACCAATCTATGTGCGATTTTAAAAGCCTAATTTTACTGCTGCCCCCTATTTAGTTAACATTACCTATGAGCCCTATAGATGGGCCTTTCCCAGAGCCCGTTTTGAGGCACTCCCTTCTGTTGTACTGCAAGGTAAACTCATTCGCGTTCCAACGCATGAACATTGATGCCCATGCATGGCTAATACAGTGGAATCAGTTACTCACATCCTCCTGTTCTGCAGATTCTGTCAGGAGGAACGAGACCATCTTATACTACCCCTTCTGTCTAGACTTAGCCCTCTGCAGTCTTATCTTGACTTTAGAAGAGAAGAAGAGATTGGATATATACCCCGCCCTTCACTAACCAAAGGTGTCTCAGAGCGGCTGACAAACTCCTTTCCCTTCCCCTCCCCCCAACAGACACCCTGGGAGGTAAAAGAAGAAGAAGAGATTGGATTTATACCCTGCCCTTCACTACCCAAAGGTGTCTCAGAGCGGCTTACAAACTCCTTCCCCTCCCCACAACAGGCACCCCGTGAGGTAGGTGGGGCTGAGAGAGCTCTGACAGAACCGGCTCTTTTTCAAGAACAGCTCTTATCAGAACTACGCCTTGCCCAAGGTCATCCAGCCAGGTGCAAGTGGAGGAGTGGGGAATCAAACCCGGCTCTCCCAGATTAGAGTCTGCACACTTAACCAGTACACCACACTGGGAGGGGCCAGAAGTCCTTCGTAAATTCCTCTTAGAAGACGTTCAGAGCTCAGTGTGGCAAAATTTTGTTGCTTAGCTATTAGGAAACGTAAACTCATTTTAGCTGAAAAAATTGTATGATTCCTTTATTTTACTAATTTTCTTAATTTTCTCTTGTTCGTGTTTTTATACCATTCCTATGTGATTACTGTTTTAATCCTCCTTATATCAGAATTGTACTGTTTTACTGGCTTTTGCTGTAATAAATTAGATCGCTCGATCGGAACCATCAGTGGACATTCAGAGGCCTTGGAAAAGAGACCAGTCGGCTAGGTGGGTGGAAAAGGAAAGCACGACCTTGCTCCTTTATCATGTGCAAGAGAAGGAGCGGGGCAAGCATGGGCTATTCAGACCAGGCCACTATTCACAGAAGCCGCTGGACAGCACATGAAGACGCATGACGCTGCCTTGTGCTGT